GGGGGGGGGGGGGGGGGGGGGGGGGGGGGGGGGGGGGGGGGGGGGGGGGGGGGGGGGGGGGGGCGTTCAAGGATTGCATGCCCTTGATGTTGGACCATTGAGTACGCGTCCTCGAGGGGAGGGGTAGGGGGGGCATAATAATGTTTTTTCTCGATTCCTATACCGAAGTCGGAATGGTGTCCGAAAAGCTCCTTAGATGACGTGACAACTTAGGCAGCATTGATTAATGTATTCCCGGTTCCTCAACTTGTGTTGGAAGGCAGGGGCGTTAGCCACGGAACGAAGTCGCCTCCGGGGGCTTACACTTGTGTCGGATCATGGGATAGCAAGCTGCTGCCGTGGAGGAGACGAGACGACAACGCCGCCCGACAAGCACGCTCAACCAACTGACCGTTTCGGATACCCAGCGGTGGAACTACGTGGGAGGTACTCATCTAGGATCGTGCTAGCGTTGATGCCCAACATAGCCGGATCGCAACCATACCGTCGTGCCGAATGGTGCGACGCGTAAGTTCTAACCCGCTGGATCTCACCCACGGCCTCGGAGGAAATCTACAGCAGTTGTTTTTGGCAACACCGAAATATGAAGCTTTGCCAACACCGAAATATGAAGCTTTGTGATACCCTAGATCTCAACGAGGTCATCCCAGCGCGTCTCTTTTGTTGGACACAGGATGTTACGTACCTGTGGTCGCCATATCGAGCTTAGAAAATCGACTGTAAACGGACGGACAGGATCTTTTTGCGCCCAGCAGCAGCAAGCGTGGACCGTTGGTTCAAGCGGAGTCCCTCACATCCCCGATCCGCATGTATCCAGTATTGTTACATATACCTTTCCCAGAACTTCGGTAGAATGTGCCCGATCCCCAACAGCAACCAGCGTCAACTCTCCGTCCCAAAAATGAGAGAGTTTCTACAAGTTGCAGAATTGCTACAAGTTGACAAGTTGCAGTTGACCTTGCGGGTGGCCGAGCGCAACGGTGCTGGATACTGTACTGGGATACTCAAGCAAGAACATTTTCGATTGTTCCTGGAGGGGCACCCCCCGGCCTGCTGCATCACATGCCTCAAGAGTATTGTTACCTGGAGCGCGAGCCCTCTCTTGAAGGCGCCGGAGGCCCACCGGTTGGTCTCGGGCTTCTTGTTGAGCTCAAAGGCCTCCCTCTCCTTCCGCTTGTACTCCTCCGGCGGCTTGGAGGGGCCCATGACGCCCCCGCTGCTACTGCTTGCGCTGGCTCTGGCGACGAAATCAGCTTCAGCCGCCTTGTCCATCATCTCGGTCACGCTCGGTACCTTCTGCTCCATTTCGGGCATCGGCCCCGCCACCGCCGGCTTGCTCTCATCGTCACCGGTCATGCGGAGGGCTCTGCTTCTCCCCCAGGTGGAGAGCTGGTTGTCGTGCGGGGCGTGACCGCAGGAGGACTGATATGCGGTGCTGCGCGTGCTCGTTGTAGTAGCGGGCGAAGCAGCACCAAGGAACGCCTGCGTGCCGCGGCATCCCAGCAGTCCCACCCATGCTCCAAGCGCCACGCAACCAGGGGAACGCATCGTGGAGCAGCAAGTTCTTGAGTGTGTGTATACCTGTCGGCGTTGGTGTTGGTGTTGTGTATGGAGAGGGCCAAAGACAGAGGCACAGGCTGAGCGGCGCGATTAGAAAGGATCAAGTTGAATTGCGGCGGATTTTCACAACCTTGGAGACAAATTGGACAAATTGAGGGGGGGCACGCATATTGATATTCCCATGATTCACCCCCCACACCTTTCCTGTTCTCACAGGAGGGAAGTAGTCGCTGCGTCGCTGCCCGTCACACACGTGTTGGCATTTGCTACCGAGTCATGTGGTCACGCCCGTTGTCTGCCCTGCTTTCCACCTTCCTTTGGCCCACACAGGCCTTCTTTGTGCCCCTTTTCTCGACGGGCAGAGGAGAAATTCGATGCCGTTCGCCAGGATATCCCCAGCAGGTATGCGTGCTTGCGTGCGTATCGTACTTGTGCCGTCTGCCGTCTTTCACGTTCGATGTGTGTGCCTTGAGACTGCTGTGTGGACACAGCCGGAGGCAGCGGAGCCATGGGCAGCCCTTTGATGCATATCTCTATATAACTTTTCGAGAAAGGTGTATGCTTTGTGTCGGCGCCGTAAACGATTGCTGTGCGTAATAGGAAACGCAGGCACTGGCTCTTTCTTCGGTACCGTGTAGTGTAGGTGATGGATCATGTTGTTTGCCCCCGCCGTAGCTCGCATGAGACGCATGCAGTTAGTTACAGAAGTGCTGCTGCGCTCGCGGGGTTGTATGGTGCCAGTGGAACAACCGAGCAGGTCGATATCGTACAGTAGGAAGGGAGGTAACTGTTGTGAGACGTCGAAGGCACCAACCAACAATACCAGCACAGCAGTAAAAGAGAAGCGTGCGTGCACACGACTTCTGCTCCTTGTCTTCAAGAGTTATTCCACCGCCAGCACCCGTACAAGTAAAATAGGAGGAGCGTGCACACGACTCCTTCTACTCCGTGTCTTCAACTTTTTTTGCAGAGCACAGTACCAAAGAGCAGTCAACTAGGAGCAGCAGTGACTGCGTGTAGTAAGCTACGGCGACGCAAGGAAGCAACTGACATAGATTTGACGGAGTTTTTCTGGTGTGCAGCGTATGTCTAAACCTTCAACTTCGGAGCCACTTGCAACTCGTCCGGATCGGCATTACAAGTACCCCACGTGCAAACACTTCCCCCCCCCCCGTCTAACAGCTACCGGTCGAAGGCGGTCGACCTAGCACCGCCGCCGCGACCCGCGCACAAAGACAAGAACGAACATCGACGGCCTTCGCCATGTCCGACAACACCGGCAGCTGCGACAGGAAGGGCTTCCTGTCATGCCTCACGCGCAACGTGGCAGGCGCTGGCCTCGCCGCCATCACCCTGGGCCCGAATATGGCGGTGGCAAAGCAGGTGCGAAACGCGTGAATCCCGGCCTCTGGCTGGTGACCACGGTGATCGATTAACGCAGGTTGATTCAACGTTGGCTGCAGAAGGACGACGACGACGACGAGGGAAGCAGCGGAAGTCGTTGCCGGACGGGCGGAACATGCAAACCCGGTTGTGTTGGAAAGCGCTCTGCAAGACATGCATGACGGTAGATTTTTGTTCGCTTAGTATTACGCCGAGTACTCTGAACATTCAGCCATGTAAGCGTGTTTGAAGTTCCCCCCGTCACCGACGTTGTTTTAATGTCGGAAAATAGCGCACGGATTACAGACTGGTATACCCAGGAGCATGTAGATCCCCCACTGGTGTTTTTTTTTTTCTTGTGATATTTTGTCGTCTTAGACTTGCTGCTATTTGCAGCTACGAACATCACATATGTTGAGCGTGATGGTTTCCTATCTTTGGGTACGAGGAGGAGAGCTAGGAACGGAGGCGCGTAGTGCATGGGGGGGGTGGGGGGGGGGCTACTGCAGCCAATGCGTGCGGTGTTGAAGGTTGTGTGGAAACAAACTCTCCTTTCCCACTCGCCCTCTGTTTCGCGCTTCNGGGGGGGGGGGGGGGGGGGGGGGGGGGGGGGGGGGGGGGGGGGGGGGCTACTGCAGCCAATGCGTGCGGTGTTGAAGGTTGTGTGGAAACAAACTCTCCTTTCCCACTCGCCCTCTGTTTCGCGCTTCCCACGTAATTAACTCCGCCCCGCGAACCAAGACACTAGTGCCAGTGGGTGTACAAGCCCCACACTTTCATTCTCGACACAACAACCCGTGTGGTTTAACATTTGTGACGTATCCCCAACTCGTGTGACGCGCGTTGTCCGTGAACCTCGCTCTGGGGCGGCGAAACAAGACAGGCGCCGGACTCTCCGGTGGACTGGAAGGCCGAGTTCGGATCCGTGAAGAAGGCCACTGACCTGGTGCTGAAGGACCTTAAGACCCTCGCCACGGACGGAGACTGGGAGCAGCTGATGGAGCAGGCCAAGGGCTACGACCAGTCCATTCGAAAAGGGTAAGTGGTTATCATGCGCGCGCGTGCGTATGGACGGGGGGACTGCCTGCGCAAAGGAAGTTAGGTTTAGTACGAGAAAGGACCAGGCAGGGGGCACGCAGACCCTGACCCCAACCCCGACTTTGCCGATTNTGCATGCCGTAGTCGTTAGACCATTGACCTCGCATCCCTACAAAGCCGTGGACTGCTGGGGCGGGATTTTGTTAACAAGGTGCGACGCGCCCACACAGGGGGCTGTTGGGTAGTGGGAGCTAGTCGTCGGAGGTGCGAAGAAAAGGTTGACTCGGGACCTTGTGGTTAACAAGTGAAGAGGGCAGGCGGCCCCACGCACGGCAGCACGGGGATCGCCCTTCTATTTGCACATTAAACACAGAACCCCCGGGATCTACGTGGACCCGTATCTAGTGCTGTGTACACCAACCACGGGCGGCGGGCCCCCTGGTGTTCTCTCACGACCCGATGGGCGCCGGCAGAGGAACTGACGGAGAAGGCCTGAGCTCCGGGGACCTGGGCGTCCAAAAAGAGGAAGACGTCGAAAAATTTCCGCGAGATAGCGGGCGGTTCTCGACTGCATGTTGAGGGGGGAGTCGTGTTCGCTTTCCCGTCGTCCTTCCTTAGGAGGAGAGGAGGATGGAGAAGGCCGAACGACGGGAACGAATCACCTGGCGAGGGTAAAATGTTTTCGTGGGGCAGCGGAATTGCTGGGGGCTAGCTGGCATTACATTTTTTTCTCCGGGGGGGGGAGAGGGGAAAACCGCTTCTCGTGTGAGCTGGCGGGAAAGAGGAAGATACACGCCCGTGTCGTCCGTGTGGGCATGACGCACGAATGGCCTCGGAAGCCACTGAGCGTTGTGGCCCAAGCCTCCTGAAGAACGGCGCCGCTCCGTTCTACCACGAATTTTTCCATTCACGCTGCTGCTGCGCTAGGCGCAACACTCTTTGATGACGAGCCCTGCTTACGTGTTGAGTGCCCAAGGACTCCACACTTAACTTAGATGCAGCCTTAGCTTTCCTTGAGACGTTTGGCCAGACCTCCGCTCGGTATGGTTGTGTGAGCGATTCATTCGTTTGCAGGCTCCCTCCCCATACGTTCGTGAGGCATGTCGTTTCCTTTCTGCGGGTTCTTTGCAACGGTGTGTGTTTTTTGTGTGGCGGTGTTTTCATGCTCTACTGCATGCTTGATTGACGAACAGTCAAGTTCTTTTCTCACCCCCAGGAACGAATTCTTCGCCCACCCCCAGCTGGCTACTGAAGTCTGCAAAGCTCCGCCTCCACGCTCGCAGAGCACCCTCTCCTGAGGGTCTTCGTCCGCCGCGCTTGCGTCCGAACTAGGCCGCTTCAACGCCCTATAAGAAACCGCCTTGAGCGTCACCCTTAGCCTTCCCGCTACTACTCACTAGTTGATGGAGCCGTCGTCCGCAAAGAAAATGCTCCACCCGCGGAGCACGCTGCAAGGGATGCACACTCTTTGGCTCTCGCAAATTTGCCGGAGGCCCGACAAGCCGCTGGCTTGTTGGGGCCCGAACCGATAGCGTACCCCCCTCACGCGACCGTTCTTTGCGGGCTGATGGGGAACGTGCGTAAGAATATGGCTTGTTGAACCTGAACCGGCAACACGCCCCGCCCCATTTGGATAGGATACATTGTTTAGGTAAGACATTTTTGAGCCACGTTTGGCAAAGTAGGAAGGAACGATTGGCCATCGGTGATCGGTCCTGTGGGAACGGCGCTCCGTCCTCTCGAGGTCGCGTGGTCGATGGCCTAACCGCTAAAAGGAATGCGAAACATAAGAGTACGCCCCCCCCCCATTTCGCTTTCGCGCGATCGTTCTTTGCAGGCTAATGGGGGACGTGCGCAAGAAGATGCCGAAGGATATCAAGGCCGACGCCATGACCTACCGAAACAACATCACATTCGACTTAATCGCCATCAACAAGGCGGCCAGGGTGGAGGACAGGCCGAGAGCTTTCGAGGTAAGGACATGCCACAGAGACGGCCCTCCCCTCTAGACCGAGTTCGGTTGCTCCGGGACCAAGCCCGTGCCAACACGAAAAATGGTGGTTTTGGAAACATGCTCATCGAGGGCTTTCCACGAACGTCTCGGGGCTCTTTCCGCACCGACGTAGTTGTGGAGCAACCGAGCTTTGATAGTCAGCCTAGGTGGTGTGCCACAGCCTATTGCGGTTTGCACGTGTCCACACGAAGACTCGTAAATACTCGGTATCTCAGTTTCGACCTCAAGATGGGGAATGGAAATGCCCAAGTAGGACAAACTTTTTGGTCTTTCGTCCTTGAGGTATTATTTTTCCGGTGGTGTTGCGTTCGGAAGGAACAGGCCAAATCCAGCGAACGTGCGTTCTGCTTACCCATCATGCCGCAAAAGATGGCGATTGTCGCACCCCCCTCCCAATTTTTCTACGGCGTGTCGACCTGGGCCGTCCTACCCTGACCTTCGCAACCATGCTGTCCCTCGATTGCACACCAGCCGAAGCGTATGCTCCAGCTTTGGCGATACACCTGGTCGACATGATGCACTTGGACATTGGACGTAAAACTTGGAAGTGACTCCTACCCTCTACCCCCGCCTGGTCTTGTTCTTCGGTTAGTATCTGTCCTTATTTGTATCCTTCTGTCTTCGGTCGGTTTGTTGCACGTCTTGTTTCGCCCCGCGCTCCGCAAAAACGAAGGTGTTGGACATTTTGGAGGCGGACATCAACGGCTTCCTTGACTTGGAAAAACGGATATAGACTACTTGCCGTCTTGTCGTCGTGGGCGCCGGTCTCACAAGATATTTTTTCTGCTCACTGGTCCCCCCTCTCTGTTTCTGTTCACGGGAGAGTCGATACGGTAGTAGACGCTGGCGGGTGAAAATCCCGCGGACCTCCGGTGAATCGGAATCGAGGGACTTCGGAGGATAGAAATCGTTTATCAGGGTATCGTCTCGTGTCTGTGAGCTGATTGGTCGAACGGCGAGCGCTGTCGGTGCTAGAAACAAACGGGGTCACCGCTGTTCGTGGTGGTGCAGGCGCGCAGGCCCTTTGCTCCTCTCTTTGTGATTCGAGGTTGGTGTTCCCAACTTTGACGGCGGCGCTTAGTGTAATTTGCCGGAGTGCACCACCCATCCGCGCGCTCCCATCGTGATGTCTCTGGTGCGCAAGATATAGATCGGCCGTGGCCGAAGTTGGCATTGCGTCCATCTACGGATGGACGCCCTCAGGCGGGTGGATGGCGCTTGTGGGTTTCTTTTCGATCCCCCACGAGGATGAAGAAGCCCCGCCACACTCTCGGCGTTGGGTTTTTGCTAAGAGTAGTGTAGTACGTCTGAGGTGCCACTATGGCGGCTCAACGATCAACAGCGCAGAACTCAGGGTCTGTCTGCAAGCGTGTGGTGTTGAACAAAATGTTACGCTTCCGCTACCTGCGGCATTCTGGCGATTGAACCCCCAGCTCTGACGGTCTCATGTGACACTTTGTTTGTCCTTGATCTGTTTGTTGGTGCTGGCGAGTTAAGGCCATATCCATCGAGTGTTTCAAAGCTCGGTTGGTCCTGCCGTGGCCCCGTGCGCCAGAGCAGACAAAAAAACCGCGCCCGCCCGTCTTGCATGCAGACACCTGTGTCGATCCACCAAAAAACATCCAATGAAAGCACGGCCGCCCAGCTTCCTTTCCCCTCCCGCCCGACATGCCTACTCCTGGCGCGAAAGTCCCGCGATGTCGGATGATGGCGCTTGTGGTGATGTCTTCCCCGCCAACCCCGTCTGCATGGCGGCCTCCCCTTCTAGTGGGTTTCCCTCGGGATTTTCACCGCTGTCGCCGCTCGTAGGGTCTCCGTCGCCTTCCTCCGCAGCCACCGCAGTACCAGCGCCCTTCATGTTGATCTCTGGGGAGAGGAGCCTCCTGAGAACGACCTGAACATCCGCGAGGACACGCGATATGGGTAGTGTGTGAAGTTGGTTTGATGGATAGGTGAAGAAATTGAGATAGACTCGTTTTTTGAGAGGCGCGGGGAACACGCGACACGCACATGTATCAACAAAACAGATGCATCCTCAGGCAATAGCCGCCGGCTCTGTAAGCACTCTGAGGCCCTACGTGAAGCTTTTGGTCTCCTTGGGTGCTGCGGCTTGGGACGAAGGAACGTTCTGCAGGCCCTTCCGCTGCAAAATGATACATGAAGCACGATACCCGCTAGACTACATGTCGCCCAGTGTACGAATCAAAGGAGAGATAGGCTCTGGTACGAGTACTTCATAGTGTAAGACAAAGAGCAAAGAGTGCCATGGGCAACGTTTCGGCAGTTTCTAGCTCTAGTCTCAGTGACTAGCCTTCAGTTACTTTGGCAAAGTCCGATACAAGGAGCGTGGGGGGAATATCGGCAGTACCCCGCGTGGTTTCGATGGAAGACTACGGGATTCACCTGCACGATCTTCCCGCTAGATGGCCGTCTTTGCAACCGTAATGGTATGATCGAAGGGGTGGTTGTAGACCGTCGCTATCAGGGTAGTCTACACAGCAAGAATGTTAAGTACTTTTCAAATTTCCCATGCTGCTATTGGTTTGACGTCAAGAACATGTCCCTCTCCGAACCCGCCGGAGAACCTTTCTGTGAATGCAGGCAGTCGCGCCATAAATCAACTTCTCCCCTCGCCTTGCTGGCGTGAGGCAGGAATGCAGGGAAGACAAGCTTGAAACGAATCAGCAGGTCCCCTCGGGACCCCGGGTTTTTGCTGATAGGCATGCCCTCCCCCTCTAGGCGCCGCTCGTAGCCGGGGCTCACGACCTCCGGGCACGGCAGCCGCAGCACGCGCCCGTCCAGAGTCGGGACCTGAGGCAGAAGAACCCAAAACACAAACGTGTTGATGAAGAGCAGGATATTTAATTATGTGCAGATGATCGCACATCGGGTGCAGTGTGCTTCGTTGATTCCTGGTGACGTGTGTGTGTTTTTGCGTATCACAGGAGCAGAGTGACAGGACAATCATGTCTGTATGAGAATTATTTTTATACGAAGCGACGCGCGCCAATCGCAAACAACAACACGAGTGCCCGTGAACACTCTAGAAAGCGTTTTTTGGTGTTTGCTGCTTGTCCTACGACGATGGTGGTTCTTCGCTGTTCAGTCCATGGGCAGGTTTAATAAAAACGACGCATCCCCTCACAAAGACGGGCACACCTCGATGATGCAGTCCGTCAAAGCGTCGGCCAACGACATCATGGACGTGTAGATCAAGTCGTTCCCCTCGCGAGAGAAGTACTCGTGAGGCCTGCGTCGACGATGATACAGAATGTAACAGAGAAATTGTCAGAGTCACATAAATTACAAGTCATTCATGCACTTGGCCCACCCATTCTGCGGTGTTTATCCGAGTGGTACACCCAATGCGGAAAGTAATCGATTTCTTCTACAGCAGTAGAGGGCCCTCAATGACGCCAGTGTGTGCCCGGCGAATCGACAGGCGCTATTCAGAGGGACCGGCGCTGTTCAAAGTACAGAATGTCTCGGTCATTCAGTTTGCGACCAGCAATTCCACCGGCACTATACAAGGCCACCGGTGTAATTCAGCCGGCGTCTTTGAGGGCCCACTACTTTACCCCCATTTTCCCGCTACTGTGCCGCCTTCACACATTGATAAAAAGTTGACAGTACCACTTCATTCTTTGCCACGGCTTAACCGGACGCATACATGCATGAGGCTGGGGGTAGCTCGGGAACGCGATGTATTTGGCTTTGAAAAATATCAAGAGCAACACCGCACAACACAATAAACGACGATGTGTCGCAGGCCTACTGCACCTTTCCGCAACTATAAGCACAACGTCAGCCGGGAGCATCCCAGCCCCCTCGTCACCCTCCCCGGGAAAGGTTATCTTGGTTCCTTTTTTCCATCCCGCCTTGACCGCGACCGTCAGCTGCGTCGACGCCTCCGCCAGCTCCCCGGCCTCGTTCAGTCTCTGATATGTTTCGCAGACCAACGGTATAGACACACATGTTGTGACCTACGAAGTGTGTTTCGATGCCCCGGTTATGAGGCTACGTTTGTCGCAGTGTATTGGTGTCGTCGATACTTTCAGGAAATTTTACCTTCGGTCACGCGCGTCGGGAGTTTGGTGCGAGCGATGTTGGTGTATTGCGAGCAACGAAAACCACGCAAAGCAAGGTCTCGACCTGCACGCGACTTTCACGAAGGGCTCGAGTAGCTTCCTACCCATTTCCTGACAGATCCGTTCAGTAGGTGCACCCGTCGCCCATGCCCCTGTATCTCTTGCCCGTGGTTGCTCATTGCAAAAGGATCGAGTAATTTCGCCTCATTTACCCCTAGAGAATAATGTCGCGCATCTCTCGCCTTTCGAGTGACCTTGAACGCCTTGGTACAACCGTTATACAGCTCTTCCAGGGAACAGGCGAGGTCTCGGGTGACTGGGTTCGGCTTTCGGGGCCCCTGCTTCTTGAGCCTCGAGGCGAAGGGCATGGTGTCCCCGAAACCGAAGTCGACGAAGGGGTTGTGCGTCCCGAAGAAGCTCTCAAATATCTCCTGTCGTTTGGGTGCGTGTTTGGGTGCAAAAATATTTACTCTTTTGGTGTTTCTGTCTCGTTGGAAACTGCTGTGGCGAGTGAACACGGCGGGTGAGTAAAAGTGTTCATCAGAAGACGTTGGACTCTTTCTACCAGTACCAACGGTTGAACACTTTGCACGTGATACTGTGGGCTTCGCAACTCCCTCCTCGGGCAATGTAATAGCGAAATTGAGATAAAAAATCTGGCTCAGAACCACCTGATTCACCCATACCCTCGCGTTTCGCATGTGGGCGATCGTCCAAGGTTACCCGTTGTACAGAGTCGCAAGAAATTCCCTCATTATACAATCGTTCTACGAAGGTCACGCATACAGAATCTCGTTCCCATCACACGACGATAGCAGTGCCCTCCCCCTAACCATGAAAGTTTTCCCGACGATCCCACCTGCCCGTTTTGCTTATAGGTGTAGCCCTCCGGCTTTCTCCCATCTTGCCCAGGCACCTGCTAGGGGTCGACGGTTGTTATCCCGGTTTCAGCTTAGATGCGGGGGATAGTTTGTGGAGCATGCACTGCGTGTTCGAGGTCGCACGCAGCGCGGGGCTGTCAACACAGCGTACAAGATGGTGTCCTCGTATGGTACACACAGACCTACTGTAAGTCCAAATAATTCATTTCCATCGTTTTCATTGTATTTTTCATTACATTCAGAGAGTACGTTCGTCGTCTATGGAGCGGTCCGTATCCCTCTTGTTCATCGGCTACTAAAAAAAGCGAGCTTCTGAGAAATGCCCAAGCAATCATGGGACTCTCTATCGCACTGTGTCGTATCATCACCGCTAGCTCTCTAGTACCGTCTAACCAGCCGGAGGAAAGTAGAATGGGCGTTCCATCTCATGTGGATATCGCAATAAAGACGTGCGAAAAACAAACGTTTGAGCTCCGTGCTATTGACCTCGCTCAGCAGTACGCGGCCTCTCATCGACGAAAAGAAGCGTGTCTCTCACAAGGCGAGTTGATGGAGAGCATGAGCGACTCTGCGGGCATGATGTGTCGGGATGTTCCTTTCGTTTGGACTCATTTTTCGTGAACGCCTTGTCCAAGATTTGGTTTTTCGTGTAGCTTCTTCACCACGAACCCGCGAGCTCGGGAGGAACTCACTCCTTCACGGAGGCCTTCTGCGCCGTACTGGTCGTAGATCGCCCGGTTTTTCTTGTCGCTCAGCACGTCGTAGGCCTCCCCAATGTTTTGGAAAATCTTCGACGCTTCAGTCTGCGAGTTTAGAGCAATAGTGTTGAAGGGGGAGCATTGACTTGTGCAAGTCGGCTGGTCGTGAACATGTGTGTTCGTGTTGTGCGTGCGTGTCTGGGAACTTCGCTCAGAAAAATCAACAACTTCACGGTAGTCAAGTAAGCATCTGTGCAATGCTGTGAATTGTATAACAAGGTATGGGAAGTTCATGAATGTGAAATCGTTCAATGGTCCGCCCTTCGAAACATTTTAATCTGTAGCATGTACGGCCTGATGCTCGTGCCATTTTTTTTACCTTGGAAATGTTGCTTCAACGGTCTTACCGTGTTGTCCTTGTTCTTGTCAGGATGCCACTTCATGGCCAGCTTACGATACCTAGGTGCAACACGAAGCGCGAACGATGGGAAGTCGGGACCATCGGGAAGAATATCTCCAACTGACGACACCAACTTTATCTACACAGCATTTGTACGTGCAGGCAACCCTCTTCAACCTCCCTTTGTTCGCTGTGGTTTGTTGTTTGGAATTCATGAATCATGTCTAACGTCGTTGCACAGGCGTATTGGGATTGGTCGCTTTTGCCTTTGTTCCTCTCGCTGCTCATAAATCTGCAAGCACTGCGGTGTACAACAGTCTAACGTGCAGCCGGCGAGGCGTCGGATGCGATAACAAGTGACTCTCAATCGGTGGTCAAACAGCGCACGGCTGCGATCAAGGCTCCATCGCCTCTACGCTTCCAAGCACTTGCACGCCCGCACTCTCATCCAGTCGTGGGGATAATTCGAATAACTTGCACTCGATTGAGATCTTAGGCGCGGATATGGGCGGGCGCGTTGTGTGACGCGCGTACTCACGCTTTCTTGATTTCAGCATCTGAAGCTGCACGCTGGACTCCGAGAGTCTCATAGTAGTCCACCGGCTGGCCAGACGAAGGCATGGCGAATCTGAAATAGCAAGACCAGTCTTCAGAGACGATCAACGCGAGAGATGGCCGCTATGAGAGTACTGCCAGGTGAAGTCGTTGTGTATCCAGATCCTACGGAGCAGGATGGACAGCTTTGACGGTTTCATG